GGAAAAAAACGCTTTCTCATTTTGCTCGCAAGTTGTGCTGCCGACTTGTGTCCCTGGTTTCCGTGACGGGTCACATATCGGCCCGGCCCGCGGGTCGGGTAGAGAATCTAAACTCTAGTACACAGGGATAATAAAACTGACAATTCAACAGCTTTTAGACATTTGATCTGTGCCCAGCCTGATTGCAGTAATCTAAGGGTTTGACAGGGATTATTCCCTGTAAAAAGACACATTTTTTTTAACCTTTTATTTAACCAGGTAGGCCGATTGAGAACAATTTCTCATTTGCAACGGTGACCTGAGGAGCAGCTGGGATTTGAACCCAGGACGTCGTACAAACAAAGCATGCACTCTACCACTGAGCTACCAACTGCTAATTTAATCATCTTTTTCTTTTGTCTTAGGCCGAGGTGTTTTTGCCACTGAACTCCTATTCAAAGGCGACTTTGTTGTGGAGTACCGAGGGAAACTACTGTCACAGCAGCAGGCAGAGCTCCAAACTATTGAGTACAATGAGTCTGCAAAGGTTTTTCTTTTTGATTTTCAGTGGAAGAGTAAAACATGGTGGTAAGTAGATAAAGTGGCTATGTAGCAACGTTACAATGCAAGGGCCATGTCTAAAATCTAGAGTTCTCTTTATGTTAGTGCCTTTGTCAGTACTACTTCAGTGACAGTTTTCTACCCTTCAATACACCTTCACAGTGACAGTTTTCTACCCTTCAGTACACCTCCACAGTGACAGTTTTCTACCCTTCAGTACACCTCCACAGTGACAGTTTTCTACCCTTCAGTACACCTCCACAGTGACAGTTTTCTACCCTTCAGTACACCTTCACAGTGACAGTTTTCTACCCTTCAGTACACCTTCACAGTGACAGTTTTCTACCCTTCAGTACACCTTCACAGTGACAGTTTTCTACCCTTCAGTACACCTTCACAGTGACAGTTTTCAACCCTTCAGTACACCTTCACAGTGACAGTTTTCTACCCTTCAGTAAACCTTCACAGTGACAGTTTTCAACCCTTCAGTACACCTTCACAGTGACAGTTTTCAACCCTTCAGTACACCTTCACAGTGACAGTTTTCTACCCTTCAGTACACCTTCACAGTGACAGTTTTCTACCCTTCAGTACACCTTCACAGTGACCGTTTTCTACCCTTCAGTACACCTTCACAGTGACAGTTTTCAACCCTTCAGTACACCTTCACAGTGACAGTTTTCAACCCTTCAGTACACCTTCACAGTGACCGTTTTCAACCCTTCAGTACACCTTCACAGTGACAGTTTTCTACCCTTCAGTACACCTTCACAGTGACAGTTTTCAACCCTTCAGTACACCTTCACAGTGACCGTTTTCTACCCTTCAGTACACCTCCACAGTGACAGTTTTCAACCCTTCAGTACACCTTCACAGTGACCGTTTTCTACCCTTCAGTACACCTTCACAGTGACAGTTTTCAACCCTTCAGTACACCTTCACAGTGACCGTTTTCTACCCTTCAGTACACCTTCACAGTGACAGTTTTCAACCCTTCAGTACACCTTCACAGTGACCGTTTTCTACCCTTCAGTACACCTTCACAGTGACAGTTTTCAACCCTTCAGTACACCTTCACAGTGACCGTTTTCTACCCTTCAGTACACCTTCACAGTGACCGTTTTCTACCCTTCAGTACACCTTCACAGTGACCGTTTTCTACCCTTCAGTACACCTTCACAGTGACAGTTTTCAACCCTTCAGTACACCTTCACAGTGACAGTTTTCTACCCTTCAGTACACCTTCACAGTGACAGTTTTCAACCCTTCAGTACACCTTCACAGTGACCGTTTTCTACCCTTCAGTACACCTCCACAGTGACAGTTTTCAACCCTTCAGTACACCTTCACAGTGACCGTTTTCTACCCTTCAGTACACCTTCACAGTGACAGTTTTCAACCCTTCAGTACACCTTCACAGTGACCGTTTTCTACCCTTCAGTACACCTTCACAGTGACCGTTTTCTACCCTTCAGTACACCTTCACAGTGACAGTTTTCAACCCTTCAGTACACCTTCACAGTGACCGTTTTCTACCCTTCAGTACACCTTCACAGTGACAGTTTTCAACCCTTCAGTACACCTTCACAGTGACCGTTTTCTACCCTTCAGTACACCTTCACAGTGACCGTTTTCAACCCTTCAGTACACCTCCACAGTGACCGTTTTCAACCCTTCAGTACACCTTCACAGTGACAGTTTTCAACCCTTCAGTACACCTTCACAGTGATCGTTTTCAACCCTTCAGTACACCTCCACAGTGACCGTTTTCAACCCTTCAGTACACCTTCACAGTGACAGTTTTCTACCCTTCAGTACACCTTCACAGTGACAGTTTTCAACCCTTCAGTACACCTTCACAGTGACCGTTTTCTACCCTTCAGTACACTTTCACAGTGACCGTTTTCTACCCTTCAGTACACCTTCACAGTGACCGTTTTCAACCCTTCAGTACACCTTCACAGTGACCGTTTTCTACCCTTCAGTACACCTTCACAGTGACCGTTTTCAACCCTTCAGTACACCTTCATTAAAAAAATTGACAGCCACATTTTTATTTGGTAAAAAGTAATATTCTGACTGTTTGAGTTTTATTAAAATTAACCATCGGTTATCCAGTATCATGCATTTAGATCATGATAACCACAGATAAAACCAGGCATAGCCTATAGCACCTCACTATCATGGCAAAATGTAACTTTATGGTTTCTATGGTATTTGTATGAAAAACAGTAGCCTAAATACATTATTAAATACTGTTATTATATTCCATTAGTCATTTAATACATGTCTACATTAATAATATAATACAATTCAATATGTATATATAGTTAATATTACTAGGCTAACGTTAAAGTAAATCCATGGTAAAGGATTCAGTATCAATTCAGATTGACTGTATCGTTGCGCACTGTGCGTTTCTCCTGTTCATCAGCTCTGTTTCATCTGCCTTTAAACTGGTTTAAATCACCGAGTCATTTGTGTTCTTCGCTGAATTCAAGCACTTCTCACTGGATCTCGTAACCGAGGCCGATCAGAGTAAACGCGTCTGCTCTAGTGAGCTCAGGCTGCCGTTTGGACTTTGAGCCGAGCGGATAAACAGTCCGTGTGGTGCGTGGTTCAAATGAGTTTCGTTCCGCTTTTGGCGCATAAACATTATCGAACATTTATCGAACTCTTGATATCGTTTTATCGAGAAATTATATCGCGATAATTATCGTTATCGTTTTATCGCCCAGCCCTAATCTCAATGTAACAATACAAAAGTGCTTTAACTAATGTTTCCAAATTATTGCCACCTACAGACCAAAGCGTTACAGAATTGCAAATAAACTAATTTTTTTAGTTTGAGGCACACCGTTCTATTTAAGCTGCATATCTGGGAATGAGCGAGAGATGTGCATATCTCTGTATATTGCCTGGTTACTTGAACTAGTCATTATTTGTATTAAAAACAGCTAGGCTCATGTGAAACCCTATTTTCAGAAAAGGCAAAAAACATGTTGTGAGTCATATGTCCAATCTGCTATTACAATTACATTATTCCATACAATAGTTGCTTATAGATAAGGCTGGGTACGGAGTTCGATACTTTTTAGGTACCGACCGAATTGCCTTGATACTATCGAGTATCGAAAAATGACTTGTTGTTCGGTACCAGATTTCGATACCTAAGGGGTTAACTCGTCAACGTCAGTGCTCAAACAAATACATATGAAATGCACAACGACACACCTAAAGTCGCTCACGCACATACACGCAAACTCTACAAACACGAGACGCGCGGAATTCTCCGCTCACATAATCATATGAGATGTGCGCGTGCGCACAAACTGTCCACGCACATTCATATAAGACGCGCACGCACAAACTCTCCACGCACATTCATATAAGACGCGCACGCACAAACTCTCCACGCACAGTCATATGACGCGAGCGCACATACTCAATGAGACGCGAGCACACACACACACAAACTCTCCGCACACATACTCGTATATGAGAGACACACACACACACAATACCCATGTGGATATATCGATCAAAAGTGTGGCTAAATTTCTCCAGGCTCAATGTCAAAAGCGCGCAATGCAGTATTTGCGGTAAAATAATTGCTGCAAAGACCGGTACCACGACAGATATGATAAAGCCCTTGACTTGACTGGTAAATGAAGAGATACCTTGTTGATCACTCTGACAGTGTTTTGCAATAATAACTGAATGTACACTGCCGTTCAAAAATGTGCTGGTTGGTTAGAATTTTTTTCTGAAGGATCATGTGACACTGAAGTAATGATTTTGAAAATTCAGCTTTGACATCACAGGAATAAATTACATTTTGAAATTTATTCAAATAAGATTTTAAATTGTAATACTATTTCACAATGTTACAAGTTTTACTGTATTTTTGATCAAACAAATTCAGCTTGGGTGAGCATGAGCTCTTTATCAAAAAAAATATTTTCCTTTATGCACTGGCTAAGGAGCATGAGTCAAACTGAAAAAATAAAACCAAAGGTTTTCTGATGTAATGTGTTATGTAATCTTGTTAAAATGGATTTCTTAACCAAATACTGCCTCTTCATAGTCGAACCTCTGTGCTTATACATTATTAATGAAACAAATGTTTCTATACAGCATTGATGCATGTGAAGAGGACCTCTCCCTTGGGAGACTTGTTAATGACGACCACAGAAGACCTAATTGCAAAATGAAAACCATTAAAGTAAATGAGAAACCACACTTGTGCCTCTTCGCGATTCGAGATATTACAGTTGGAGAAGAATTGACTTACGATTACGGTGACTCAAACTGGGCATGGAGAGCACAGGTGAGTTACCTTTTTGTTTCTATATCCAATATGCCACCTACCTGGAGACGAGTTTATATTTCATGCAATTTGTTGCAGACACTCCAAACAAGAAAGCGGTAGTTGAATTTGTTTCTATCTTGGTTTACTTAGCAGGTTAACAAGGATGTACTACCTAGCGTGAAACCTGAGGTAGGAATTTAAGTGCATACTGTTTAAATCTTATCAAATGCAAAAATACAAGTGAGTTGTTGTGGAGCAGCTGTTGAACTTTTAGGTGTGGCCTATGCAATTGCACATTACAACTTGTAACATTTCCCTTTGTAGATTGGGAGTATAAAGTCTGCTGCTGCTATAGTACATGCTGATTCAGTAGGGACTGAACTCACCACAGTCACAACTGCAGACTCACAGCCTGCTGACACAGGTATAGACCACTACAACTCTAAAACCCTTTCCTGAAACGCTGCTCTTTAATTGTTCAGGCCAATTTGTTTTTATGAGATACATTTCCTATGCTAAAGGTTTGATCACACCAACTGGTTTTTAGTAATGGAAATACCTTTATATCCACAGTTTTAATGAATTGCATTCGTTCAGATGTCACAGTGGATTCTGTTTTGGATTTATCTATTGTATGCACCCATTGTGTACACACAATTAGAACGTACAAAGTTGTAGCAAAAAGTTAATTTAACTTCTGTTGCACTAATGCATCCATTAAAAATGATTGAATTACATGCCTATATTACAAAGATTAGAACCGCGTATGCAGAATAAATGCAGTGGTGCTGTCTGATCAATACCTATCCTCCTCTGCAAGGATGTCCCATGTGTTTCTCAGTGTAAATATCCTCTTACTATATTTCACTTTTGTTGCCATCTGTGTGGTTTCCTCTCCTAGCCCCCAAAACACACTTCACTGGCACAGACACCCTCTCCAACATGCCCGTCTCAGGTAAAAGCAACTGCCCCCCTTCCCCATCACACATATCACTGTTGCAGGTCTCAAACTATAGATTGATTGATTATTTATTGTGTAAGGGAAGTGAAAAGTATAAATAAGGACTAACAAATTATGTTGTTCTTGCAGATGATAATTTGCAGAGTGAGCGCTCAAAGGTAAGCACATAAGTGCCCCAGACTGGGTCAGTTTGTGGATCTGCACTATGTATTCATGATTGTCAAAGTTTCCAGTGTCTGGTTCCAAAGTCAAATGAACATTGAATTATACTCTTGCATAGCCCAAAAACGTCACTTCCACATCTATTTGTTGCTATACTAATACTTCAAGCATAATATTGGCCCACATGCGAGTTGTTGTGGAGTAGCTGTTGAACTTTTAGGTGTGGCCTATGCAATTGCACATTACAACTTGTAACATTTCCCTTTGTAGATTGGGAGTATAAAGTCTGCTGCTGCTATAGTACATGCTGATTCAGTAGGGACTGAACTCACCACAGTCACAACTGCAGACTCACAGCCTGCTGACACAGGTATAGACCACTACAACTCTAAAACCCTTTCCTGAAACACTGCTCTTTAATTGTTCAGGCCAATTTGTTTTTATGAGATACATTTCCTATGCTAAAGGTTTGATCACACCAACTGGTTTTTGTTTATGGAAATACCTTTATATCCACAGTTTTAATGAATTGCATTAGTTCAGATGTCACAGTGGATTCTGTTTTGGATTTATCTATTGTATGCACCCATTGTGTACACACAATTAGAACGTACAAAGTTGTAGCAAAAAGTTAATTTAACTTCTGTTGCACTAATGCATCCATTAAAAATGATTGAATTACATGCCTATATTACAAAGATTAGAACCGCGTATGCAGAATAAATGCAGTGGTGCTGTCTGATCAATACCTATCCTCCTCTGCAAGGATGTCCCATGTGTTTCTCAGTGTAAATATCCTCTTACTATATTTCACTTTTGTTGCCATCTGTGTGGTTTCCTCTCCTAGCCCCCAAAACACACTTCACTGGCACAGACACCCTCTCCAACATGCCCGTCTCAGGTAAAAGCAACTGCCCCCCTTCCCCATCACACATATCACTGTTGCAGGTCTCAAACTATAGATTGATTGATTATTTATTGTGTAAGGGAAGTGAAAAGTATAAATAAGGACTAACAAATTATGTTGTTCTTGCAGATGATAATTTACAGAGTGAGCGCTCAAAGGTAAGCACATAAGTGCCCCAGACTGGGTCAGTTTGTGGATCTGCACTATGTATTCATGATTGTCAAAGTTTCCAGTGTCTGGTTCCAAAGTCAAATGAACATTGAATTATACTCTTGCATAGCCCAAAAACGTCACTTCCACATCTATTTGTTGCTATACTAATACTTCAAGCATAATATTGGCCCACATGCGAGTTGTTGTGGAGTAGCTGTTGAACTTTTAGGTGTGGCCTATGCAATTGCACATTACAACTTGTAACATTTCCCTTTGTAGATTGGGAGTATAAAGTCTGCTGCTGCTATAGTACATGCTGATTCAGTAGGGACTGAACTCACCACAGTCACAACTGCAGACTCACAGCCTGCTGACACAGGTATAGACCACTACAACTCTAAAACCCTTTCCTGAAACACTGCTCTTTAATTGTTCAGGCCAATTTGTTTTTATGAGATACATTTCCTATGCTAAAGGTTTGATCACACCAACTGGTTTTTGTTTATGGAAATACCTTTATATCCACAGTTTTAATGAATTGCATTAGTTCAGATGTCACAGTGGATTCTGTTTTGGATTTATCTATTGTATGCACCCATTGTGTACACACAATTAGAACGTACAAAGTTGTAGCAAAAAGTTAATTTAACTTCTGTTGCACTAATGCATCCATTAAAAATGATTGAATTACATGCCTATATTACAAAGATTAGAACCGCGTATGCAGAATAAATGCAGTGGTGCTGTCTGATCAATACCTATCCTCCTCTGCAAGGATGTCCCATGTGTTTCTCAGTGTAAATATCCTCTTACTATATTTCACTTTTGTTGCCATCTGTGTGGTTTCCTCTCCTAGCCCCCAAAACACACTTCACTGGCACAGACACCCTCTCCAACATGCCCGTCTCAGGTAAAAGCAACTGCCCCCCTTCCCCATCACACATATCACTGTTGCAGGTCTCAAACTATAGATTGATTGATTATTTATTGTGTAAGGGAAGTGAAAAGTATAAATAAGGACTAACAAATTATGTTGTTCTTGCAGATGATAATTTGCAGAGTGAGCGCTCAAAGGTAAGCACATAAGTGCCCCAGACTGGGTCAGTTTGTGGATCTGCACTATGTATTCATGATTGTCAAAGTTTCCAGTGTCTGGTTCCAAAGTCAAATGAACATTGAATTATACTCTTGCATAGCCCAAAAACGTCACTTCCACATCTATTTGTTGCTATACTAATACTTCAAGCATAATATTGGCCCACATGCGAGTTGTTGTGGAGTAGCTGTTGAACTTTTAGGTGTGGCCTATGCAATTGCACATTACAACTTGTAACATTTCCCTTTGTAGATTGGGAGTATAAAGTCTGCTGCTGCTATAGTACATGCTGATTCAGTAGGGACTGAACTCACCACAGTCACAACTGCAGACTCACAGCCTGCTGACACAGGTATAGACCACTACAACTCTAAAACCCTTTCCTGAAACACTGCTCTTTAATTGTTCAGGCCAATTTGTTTTTATGAGATACATTTCCTATGCTAAAGGTTTGATCACACCAACTGGTTTTTGTTTATGGAAATACCTTTATATCCACAGTTTTAATGAATTGCATTAGTTCAGATGTCACAGTGGATTCTGTTTTGGATTTATCTATTGTATGCACCCATTGTGTACACACAATTAGAACGTACAAAGTTGTAGCAAAAAGTTAATTTAACTTCTGTTGCACTAATGCATCCATTAAAAATGATTGAATTACATGCCTATATTACAAAGATTAGAACCGCGTATGCAGAATAAATGCAGTGGTGCTGTCTGATCAATACCTATCCTCCTCTGCAAGGATGTCCCATGTGTTTCTCAGTGTAAATATCCTCTTACTATATTTCACTTTTGTTGCCATCTGTGTGGTTTCCTCTCCTAGCCCCCAAAACACACTTCACTGGCACAGACACCCTCTCCAACATGCCCGTCTCAGGTAAAAGCAACTGCCCCCCTTCCCCATCACACATATCACTGTTGCAGGTCTCAAACTATAGATTGATTGATTATTTATTGTGTAAGGGAAGTGAAAAGTATAAATAAGGACTAACAAATTATGTTGTTCTTGCAGATGATAATTTACAGAGTGAGCGCTCAAAGGTAAGCACATAAGTGCCCCAGACTGGGTCAGTTTGTGGATCTGCACTATGTATTCATGATTGTCAAAGTTTCCAGTGTCTGGTTCCAAAGTCAAATGAACATTGAATTATACTCTTGCATAGCCCAAAAACGTCACTTCCACATCTATTTGTTGCTATACTAATACTTCAAGCATAATATTGGCCCACATGCGAGTTGTTGTGGAGTAGCTGTTGAACTTTTAGGTGTGGCCTATGCAATTGCACATTACAACTTGTAACATTTCCCTTTGTAGATTGGGAGTATAAAGTCTGCTGCTGCTATAGTACATGCTGATTCAGTAGGGACTGAACTCACCACAGTCACAACTGCAGACTCACAGCCTGCTGACACAGGTATAGACCACTACAACTCTAAAACCCTTTCCTGAAACACTGCTCTTTAATTGTTCAGGCCAATTTGTTTTTATGAGATACATTTCCTATGCTAAAGGTTTGATCACACCAACTGGTTTTTGTTTATGGAAATACCTTTATATCCACAGTTTTAATGAATTGCATTAGTTCAGATGTCACAGTGGATTCTGTTTTGGATTTATCTATTGTATGCACCCATTGTGTACACACAATTAGAACGTACAAAGTTGTAGCAAAAAGTTAATTTAACTTCTGTTGCACTAATGCATCCATTAAAAATGATTGAATTACATGCCTATATTACAAAGATTAGAACCGCGTATGCAGAATAAATGCAGTGGTGCTGTCTGATCAATACCTATCCTCCTCTGCAAGGATGTCCCATGTGTTTCTCAGTGTAAATATCCTCTTACTATATTTCACTTTTGTTGCCATCTGTGTGGTTTCCTCTCCTAGCCCCCAAAACACACTTCACTGGCACAGACACCCTCTCCAACATGCCCGTCTCAGGTAAAAGCAACTGCCCCCCTTCCCCATCACACATATCACTGTTGCAGGTCTCAAACTATAGATTGATTGATTATTTATTGTGTAAGGGAAGTGAAAAGTATAAATAAGGACTAACAAATTATGTTGTTCTTGCAGATGATAATTTGCAGAGTGAGCGCTCAAAGGTAAGCACATAAGTGCCCCAGACTGGGTCAGTTTGTGGATCTGCACTATGTATTCATGATTGTCAAAGTTTCCAGTGTCTGGTTCCAAAGTCAAATGAACATTGAATTATACTCTTGCATAGCCCAAAAACGTCACTTCCACATCTATTTGTTTGCTATACTAATACTAATTTCTCATGTTCTGTACTTTAAATTTGAAATTACACAATTACAATGTGGATACATGGTGTTTTGATGCAAGTAGGAAAGACTTCCACATTTGTTTCTCATCAAATCAGTGCTATAAAGTAGAGTAAGGTAATTACTTAACAAACTATTAAAGAGATTAATACACATAGCTTATGTTGGTAGCATGAGCATGATGGTTTGAGGCTGAATTGATAACTCTGACTTTAGTCGAATAACTAATCCATACGGCATGACCGTAACAAAGACAAGTCTGGTTTCCAAACCTGCATTTCTTTGCTGGCACCCTGTCATATTTACATTTTAAAAGGTTTGTGATGTGTTTTCATTATATTTTTTCAAATTACTGGTGTACAGAACAAAAGAAATTCATTTTCAACATGAAAATCTTATCCCTAGTGTCAGTCTGTCTGAAGTAATAGACCATTCCAGGTTACTTAAATCCAAATTAATTTATCAACTTTTTTGTAGTATTGCATTTCATTCTTTTTTTTTAAACAATAATTTCTGGTACACTGATTGTTATATTTGGTTTAACAATTGCAGGCCAGGATTAACAAATTAAAAGAACACCACAATAGGTGTGAAACTCGGTATGAATCTACGGCAGAGAAGCGAAACGCTCTTCAAAGACAGCGAGTCTTACTCCTACTCCAATTGGCAAACTTGGATAAAATGGTGAGTCGTTTTATTGTACGTTGACAGAACTTGGGTAAAATATTTTCTGTTCTAAAAAATGTAGCAGGTAAACCTAGCCTGGCTAACGTCAGACCAATTCTCATTCGAGACTTGATCTGGGAACCACCGGTTCATTTTCTTGTATTTGAGGCGTGGTTAACGAATGCCCAGAGCCGTTTATTGGGCGCCACGAATGTCTATCAAATGCTCTTGCTTATGAAATTGGCAGTTGCTCTTTTTTCAAAACAAACTTGCGTTTTAAACTACTTAAAACACCATCGAAAGGTAATTTCGCGTCTGATGCCATGTTGGATCCATAGAAACTTCTTTGTGTCGCATAGATGTCGTCATTGTCTTGCTGATCCCTCCCCGTTCTGTGATTGGTTCCCTTTTTCAGGGGAAAATTTAGTCCATGGTGTCCAGGCTGCCTTAGCAGCGTGAATCAAATCGCGCGCAAGGCAGCCTGGGAACACCCAGGCTAAGGTAAACCAGGATTTGCATGAATTGAAAATAAGATTTACCTACTGCTATTTATATATTTGATGGAAAACATTTTAAACATTACTGTTTGTAATTAATAGGCATAAGGGATAGGGAACAACAGTGATTTTATAATTGTATGTACTTTAGTTCAAAAATCATTCTACACTTTTTCTGTTGCATTGATTTTTTTTATTTGATTTTTAGCTGGGCCCAGAATCGCATCCAGTCACTCAACCAGCAGAAGATTCTGTGATACCCTCACCAACAGACACACAGGTAATAAGACAGTTTTTTTTATAACCATTTAGTTTCAGAGCTGCACAGTATACATTAGGGCTGGGAATCGCTGGGTACTTCACGATACGATACGATATGCGATACATTGTTCACGATACCGATAATATCACGATATGGCGATACTGCGATAATCGATATTATCAGTAATAACTCACAATAGCTATATCATGTTTTTAAGAAATACAATTTTCTTTTAAATTAGGAAAATTAATCTCCATTTATTTTTTGGGATGAAACACAATAACAAAAACAACTTTTGTCTTATCAGTTGCAACAAAACAGTCACAGACACTATTTTAGTGTAACATTGCTGCAATCAGTAGCCTAGTAATAAAAATGTTTACGCCGGGGTGTGTCGGCTTCGAGCCAGCACCAACCACGGCTTTCTCACAGAGCTCCGGGTGATGCCGCGTGAGGTGTCTGTACATGTGGTCGTGTTTCCCGTTTTGCGGACTTTTGCAAAGCCAGACATCCCAAGTCTCCCGGAAGTTCAGGGAGTCTCCCGCATAATGATAGCGTCTCCCTGATGCCAGCAAATTAGTTCAAATCTCCCGGAATCTAGAGCGCGCATGCGAGACAGAACAGCCTGCACGCATAACATACATAGCACGGGAGAGAGCGAGAGACTTTGCGTGTGTGCCTCATGAAAGCTAGTCAAATCCAGTCAACTCGGATAATGAATAGAGCGTTTTATAACGGCTTTTAAGATCGATACTTGGCAAGAGCGCATCGAGAATCGATCGCGGGAGTAAATATCGTGATATATCGCCATATCGATATTTTGGCGCACCCCTAGTATACATTATATTGTAGTAATAATTATTTCCCAGCAACAATGTTTATCATAATGTGTTTGACAGAACGATGCGAGGATTGCATTATTACAGGCTTTGTCCCAATCCTGTTACAACTTGTAACATTTCCCATTTCCGGTTTCTACATTTTAAACGACTTACCACAAACGATGGATACAAACACCCTCTAAACAAACCTGAAAGTTTGGTCGGCACTTTAACCTCATAGGTAGTAATGAGTATTTATGATAGCTTTTGGGGACATTGACCTCTATTTTAACTGTCCTTATGGGGACATTTTGGCTTAGTGAGGATGGAATCCTAGTCCTCTTAAGGATAACCATTGGAACTGATATGTAATATCTTGCTGATATAATTTTTGTATTTTTATACAACCAAAAACTATTATGATCCTGCTACTGTTTTTTGCAAACTATAAGGTGCACCGAAGCAGTTTCCCTATATAGTTCATTGGGTACATCCGTCAGTAAAAACCATTATAAATCCTAAAATATTTTTTGTCTAATTACTTTGTCTGCTGAAATTTGGAGACCATGTATTTAAATGGCTACCCTCATACACTGTCCATAGAAGATGGATAGAAACATTCTCTAAACAGAAGTTGGTAATAACCTCAGGTCTTTATTTCAAATCCACTGTGCTTGTGTACAGAGCAAAAACAATAAAATGTGTTGGCCCCAATACTTACAGAGCGCACTGTAGATGTGTTAACTGGTTCCTGGATTTGAATTTCTGTCACATGTCACTCTAGCAAAAGGAAAAGCTTAGTTTCCCCTTGTTTTTGTTTTGTAAGACTGTTATTCAGTCTCTGTGCCAAATCTGTTTTGTAATTTCATAGCCTCAAATGATGATAATTTTTTATTGCAGGTATGGTCAGAAATTGACCATGCATCTCCTTCAACCAGCGAATGTGTACCACCACTGGAAAGAACAGATAGTGTATTTGTAAGTAACAACATTAATTACTTGCCTAAGTCTATCAATTAGGGTTACATAAAATATCTACCTTTTAAGTCACTATTCTTGAAATTTTGTGGTCTGAAGATCACATTTGACTGTGACAGGGTTTAAAAGGTATGCGACTCACCAAGAAATATTTTGATTGTGTACTGCTCTGCATACAACTGTATAATGTCTAAACGTTAAACCAATATGTCTCTAATGATCTCTTTGTAAGAGACAAAACCACAGTAAGATTATTTATCGAAATGTCATGATGAGAGTGCAATATTCAAGATATTGCCCCAACTCACGCTCAGCCAACATGAAATTGTGAGGTATTATTTTTGCTGTTGTGCTCATGTATAAGTTGAGGATAGAACGAACAAGCGATGTGTGATGTTATTTGATACCTTCTGGGGACATTGACCTGTATTTTAACTGTCTTTATGGGGACACCTTGTTTAAGGGTGGATTGCATTATTTGCATGATACCTTCTGGGGACATTGACATGTATTTTAACTGTCTTTATGGGGACACCTTGTTTAAGGGTGGATTGCATTATTTGCATGATACCTTCTGGGGACATTGACCTGTATCTTAACTGTCTTTATGGGGACACCTTGTTTAAGAGTGGATTACATTATTTGCATGATACCTTCCGGGGACATTGATCTGTATTTTAACTGTCTTTATGGGGACACCTTGTTTAAGGGTGGATTGCATTATTTGCTTGATACCTCCTGGGGACATTGACCTGTATTTTAACTGTCTTTAAGGGGACACCTTGTTTAAGGGTGGATTGCATTGTATGCACAGGGCTCCAGACTAACTTTTCCACTGGTTGCACTGGTGCTACCAACTTTCTCAGTTGGTCGCACCAGCATATGATTTGGTCGCACCTTTTTTTTTTTTGCTACATGCCATGGGATTAATCAATGCATGCTGATGAATAGTGGTTTTAATGGACCACGGCTAGCAAAGGCTTTCTGGGTTGCAGCAGAAATACCTGTAATATTAATTATCATTGCCAAATTTCAGGATTTTCATGGATATTGGACAGTAATTTTAAGCATTTTACATTTGAATTATATACAATCCATCTATTTACATTTAAATCATATTCTATCTGTCTATTATCATCTTTCTATCTTTTAAAAAACATTAAACATTCGAATGTATGCATTACATTTTAAAAGATTAGAGTATTATAATAAACTGATACAGATTTTTCGTTATCAAAGTTTATAGTTGTAACAAAAAGCAGAAATCTCACACTCCTTACCTTCTGCATTTTATAATAATTTCCTTTTCCTCTGTCGAGCGACCATGAGAGTAATCGCTCGACAGAGGAAAATATAACCGCTGAAAAGACGTAGGAGGAAGGGGCTCTGTGTTTCGTGAGACCATTTTTATCATTTTTATATGCCTTAATTCGTGAATTCGTAATTGGCGCGCTTCACCATCAGTGTGCAATGCGCGTGACGTCTACGTTCGTCAATAAATAAACTGCACGTGTCTTGCGGAAGAACATTGTAGACGGAACTTCTCTCCATTAATGTCTATGGCAGGCACTGAGCTACTCCACAGCCGAGACTACCCCGGGATAAAATAGTCAGAATATAAACACTTATTATAGGCGTACCGTAGTGATTCAGAATAAGTCAAAAACACGGTTTGGAAAATGGATTCATGATGTAGCCTACTCGTTCATTTTGAACATAAGTTACAGACTGCAGCAGCTGATACAACGGCGTTCTGTTGCTCGAGCGCCCACTCGCACAAATGCGACCACATAACGTTTTAACTCGCACATTCTCAAAAAATGGTCGCATATGCCCTGATGCATGATACCTTCTGGGGACATTGACCTGTATTTTAACTGTCTTTATGGGGACACCTTGTTTAAGGGTGGATTGCATTATTTGCATGATACCTTCTGGGGACATTGACCTGTATTTTAACTGTCTTTAAGGGGACACCTTGTTTAAGGGTGGATTGCATTATTTGCATGATACCTTCTGGGGACATTGACCTGTATTTTAACTGTCTTTATGGGGACACCTTGTTTAAGGGTGGATTGCATTATTTGCATGATACCTTCTTGGGACATTGACCTGTATTTTAACTGTCTTTATGGGGACACCTTGTTTAAGGGTGGATTGCATTATTTGCATGATACCTTCTGGGGACATTGACCTGTATTTTAACTGTCTTTATGGGGACACCTTGTTTAAGGGTGGATTGCATTATATTCATGATAATATGATTTGTGTAAAATTCTCAATACCTTTATATTTGTCATGTTTGACTGATTACAGGTTGCCTTTCAAAACAACATGGACACAGATTCCAGCTCTGCAGAAGATGGGAATGTGTCCCACTCCAATCCCAAGGTAAGAAAGTATAGATAATGGCCACAGTTCATAAAAGTTTGAAGAATTCATTAATTTTATCTTGACTGATTTTCATAACAGTTTAAAAGGCAACCCTTTCAATGTTTGTTTGATACTTTAGACCCATTCATACTTGATAACTTTCATTTATTTTTGCAATTAGATATTAAACTAGATTATTAATCTGTTCTGGCCCATGCCTACATTCTAATACAATCACATCGCAATTCAAATAAGTTGGATCATTACTTTAGAGAAGTGACTACTAATTATAAATGTAGAGAACAGAAAATCATTGCATGCACATAACAAAAATGTTATGTGTTAATGTTACATTTTTTTTTTGCAGTTTACAATTGTATCTACCTTAGTTAAATAATCATTCTACACTCTTTCTGTAGCATTGAATTTTTTATTTGATTTTTAGCTGGGCCTAGAATTGCATCCAGTCACTCAACCAGCAGAAAATTCTGTGATATGCTCACCAACAGACACACAGGTATAAGACAGTTTTTTTTTTTTATAACCATTTAGTTTCAGAGCTGCACAGTATACATTATATTGTAGTAATAATTATTTCCCAGCAACAATGTTTATCATAATGTGTTTGACAGAACGATGCGAGGATTGCATTATTACAGGCTTTGTCCCAATCCTGTTAGGGCATACTGGATTTTTTGCACATATTTACGATACGCATTTACAGTTATGAATGACAAATTGTAATAGTAATGGTAGTAATGAGTATTTATGATAGCTTTTAGGGACATTGACCTGTATTTTAACTGTCCTTATGGGGACACCTTTATTGCTAATATAATTTGTGTAAAATTCTCAATACCTTTTATATTTGTCATGTTTGACTGATTACAGGTTGCCTTCCAAAACAACATGGACACAGATTCCAGCTCTGCAGAAGATGGGAATGTGTCCCACTCCAATCCCAAGGTAAGAAAGTATAGATGATGGCCACAGTTCATAAAAGTTTGAAGAATTCGTTAATTTTATATTGACTGATTTTCGTAACAGTTTAAAAGGCAACCCTTTCAATGTTTGTTTGATACTTTAGACCAGGGATAGGCAACTATGGTCCTGGAGGGCTACTGTCCTGCAGAGTTTAGCTCCAACCCTAATTAAACACACCTGAACAAGGCAATCAATGTTTTCAGGATTAGATAGATACAGGCAGGTGAGGTTTTTATCAGGGCTGAAGCTAAACTCTGCAGGACAGTGGCCCTCCAGGACCGAAGTTGCCTATCCCTGCCTTAGACCCATTCATACTTGATAACTTGCATTTAATTTTGCATTTATTCATGCAATTATATATTAAACTACAGTAATTGCGTGCATGTAACAAATGCTTGCTTTTACTTTTTTTAGCAGTTTAAAATATAGGGTTTTTTTTGTGGATGTTCGAAGGAATTACTTTTATTCTACAAACATTTGGAGATATTGTAGTTCTGTTTCAGTGACACAGACCTTTTATTTAGGAAATTTAATTGGCTGAATTCTGATTAATTTCAGTTTAAAAAACAAATGCTTGGAAATGATTCTGAAGACTCACTAAGCAGCATGGAAATAACAGAGGATGAATATGTGCCAGGGTCAGATTGTGAAAGTGAGACCAGCTCAGAGGGAGACAGTATATTAAAGAAAAATGCTGCCACCATGGCCAGTCCTGCTGTTAAAGATGGAAATAGAAAAACATACAAGGGACCTAGAAACCGGAACTCTGAATCTGACACATCTGGGGAAAGCTCCATAACTTCACTTACAGTCATGCACAGTCAAAAGACTGACGATGGATCTAGAAGATACACCAAAAAACATTACTGTCTCTTTTGTGAGAAACCACAATCCAAAATTGCCAGGCATCTGGAACTCGTTCACAAAGATGAATCTGAAGTCGCTAAAGCCATTTCATCTCCAAAGAACTCCAAGGAAAGAAAGCTCCAACTGACTATACTAAGGAAACAGGGGGACAGAGCACACAATGTAGATGTCATTAGAAAGGGAAAAGGTGTCATTGTTCCATGTAAACAAGCGAGTTCTCCAAATGTCAATCCAAATAAATTCTTACATTGTGCAAATTGCCAAGGACTTTTCAAAAAAAGATTTCTTTGGAAACATATGAAAAGGTGCCCACTTCGAGGTGTTCTTCCAAAACCTGGTAGAACTCGAGCCCAATCGATTTGCGCCTTTGCGCAACCTGTGCAGGAAGGAGTTAGCAAGGGACTGTGGAAACTTCTCAGTGATATGAAACACGGTGAAGTGGTAGATGTCATAAAGAGTGACCATTGTATCCTCAAGTATGGCGAGCAGAAATACAACATCATGGGACACCGACGTTCTGATCATGAACTGATCCGTCAGAAAATGCGTGAGTTAGGGAGACTGGTTTTGAAAGGAAGGCAGGTGTCCCCCCTCAAATCACTTGAGGAATACATTGATCCAGCCAACTTCCAACACACAGTTAATGCAGTTAAAGCTGTTACAGGCTTTCAGTGTGAGACAAATAAGATAGCGGTGCCAACGCTAGCCAACAAACTTGGTCAGAGCCTCATGAAGGTTGCCGACATTGTAAGTTGTGATGCAAGGATCTGCGGTGACACAACAAAAGTTCAAAAAGCAGAGGACTTCAAACACATCTATAAGACACGCTGGAGGGAGATGATCTCATGTCATGCTCACAATACCCTGGAAGAAAAAAGGTACAACGCTCCATTGATCTTGCCATTTGCAGATGATGTCAAGAAACTCCATATATATTTAAAGGAGAAACAGCAAGAATACTACAGCACACTTTTTAATGCACCGAACACCAAGACCTGGGCAAAACTGGCTAAAGTCACTCTTGCACAAATGATCATCTTCAACAGAAAAAGGCAAGGGGAAGCCTGTCTGATGCCAGTACAATCATTCGAGTCTCGAGACAAATCTACTTTAAATGTTGATATTGCTGACTCTCTCTCAGAAGTTGAACAAGCACTATGCAAGTACTTTAGTCGTGTAGAAATCCGTGGAAAGCGCGGAAGGAAAATTGCAGTACTTTTGGCACCGGAAATGATCAAATCCATGGAGTTGCTGGTTAAAACACGTGAAGTTTGCGGTGTTCTGAAGGAGAACATCTACATGTTTGCAATCCCAGGCTGCGAGACATCATTTCGTGGATCAGACTGCCTGCGCTGCTTTGCCGTGGAGTGTGGTGCTAAATGTCCAAAAGCCCTATCGTCCACCAAGTTGCGCAAACACATCTCTACAATGTCCAGAGTTCTTAACATGAACGACACCGAAATGGACCAACTTGCTGATTTCCTGGGACATGACATTCGTATCCACAGGAAATATTACAGATTACCAGAGGGAACACTCCAGCTGGCAAAAATCACCAAAGTCTTGATGGCAATGGAGCAGGGAAGGCTTAACGAATTCAGAGGGAAAGGTCTTGACCAGATCAGCATCAATCCAACAGGTATGTAACCTGTTAATCGAGTTTAAACTACCTGTCAAGCGTGTCCTAGTGATTTTGGAAGAATCTGTGCATATCTCTGAATACTAAGACTATATTTCAGAGTGCGTTGAGCCTGATGCTGGGATGGAGAGTGAAAACGAACTGTCAGATCATTCTCATGATGTGACGTCAAGTGAGCCAGGTAAAGATTTGTAAACACATTTTTTAAAGATGTTTGTCATTTCCATTAGTTAAATAATAATTAAATCATGCCTTCAAGCAGGCACTTCAGGAGTGAATAGCAGCAGGCCGGTAAACACGAATGAAGGTAAGATGTATGAACAGGCAGTTAAATGTTTAATGCAATCAGAATATCAAGAATTCCCCCCAAACAGCCTATCAGTAATAAGTAGTTTGATTTAGAAATGTATATGATTGTGTTTCTAAAGGATCTCCAGAGAGGACACGAGAGGTCATGAAAGTAACATCAGGTAAGGAACCTGTCCAGTAATAGTTTTTATTTGCTTTATTTATAAAAGGTCAACAACATCATAAAGAAATAGTATAAAAATAATCCAGTCTTGCACCTACAACACATAAAGTGCAATTAATGTAATTTTCTTATCATTAGTTCCTAGGAAGAGAAGGTGGAGTGAGGTGGAGATTGCAGCTGTAGAAGAGAAAATGATGAAATTTATTCACTCGGGAATTACTCCTGGAAAAGTCGACTGCATTGCATGCATTAAAGCAGCCCCCAAAGCCCTCGGTGAACGAGACTGGCAGGCGGTGAAGTATTATATAAAAAACAGAATCACAGCATATGAGAGAAGGACCACTAAAAAGTAAGGTTGATTTTGGTTGTTGATTCTGTTTTTGCGTTTTAGTTGAATTATATTATATTTTTTTGGTCTCAATACCATAGTTGAAACATTATAATGTAATTTAAAGGACAAGTTCGGTATTTTACACTTAAAGTCCTGTTTCAAGATTAAAGATTCTGATGAAATAGAACGGTTAAAGGATTAGTTCACTTTTTTAAAAACTTATGACGTGAAACTCAACGAGTGGTCAGGTGTGTTCACTGATATGCCCACACAAAAATCGCTTCAAAAGATGCTTTCCAACAGGTTTTATCGTAGTTTTTGTCCAAGTCCATTTTCTTCCTGTTTTCGGTCAAAGTCCACAGTAACTGTGGACTTTGACCGAAGAAGAAGACTTAGAATGCCTAGTTGTAGACTAAACCGGTTTAAGAACTCATTCATTCCTTCAGCGGTTAAGTTATTAAATAATATCAAGTAGAAATAATAATTAATGTTTAGAGTGGCGTGATGCCGATTATTTTGTAGTGGACAGAGTGGCGTGATGCCGATTACTTTATAGTGGACAGAGTGGCGTGATGTTGATTACTTTATAGTGGACAGAGTGGCGTGATGCCGATTACTTTATAGTGGACAGAGTGGCGTGATGCCGATTACTTTATAGTGGACAGAGTGGCGTGATGTTGATTACTTTATAGTGGACAGAGTGGCGTGATGCCGATTACTTTATAGTGGACAGAGTGGCGTGATGCCGATTACTTTATAGTGGACAGAGTGGCGTGATGCCGATTACTTTATAGTGGACAGAGTGGCGTGATGTTGATTACTTTATAGTGGACAGAGTGGCGTGATGCCGATTACTTTATAGTGGACAGAGTGGCGTGATGCCGATTACTTTATAGTGGACAGAGTGGCGTGATGCCAATTAATTCTTAGTGTACAGAGTAGTGTGATGCCGATTACTTTATAGTGGACAGAGTGGCGTGATGCCGATTACTTTATAGTGGACAGAGTGGCGTGATGCCAATTAATTCTTAGTGTACAGTAGTGTGATGCCGATTACTTTATAGTGGACAGAGTGGCGTGATGCCGATTACTTTATAGTGGACAGAGTGGCGTGATGCCGATTACTTTATAGTGGACAGAGTGGCGTGATGTTGATTACTTTATAGTGGACAGAGTGGCGTGATGCCGATTACTTTATAGTGGACAGAGTGGCGTGATGCCGATTACTTTATAGTGGACAGAGTGGCGTGATGCCAATTAATTCTTAGTGTACAGAGTAGTGTGATGCCGATTACTTTATAGTGGACAGAGTGGCGTGATGCCGATTACTTTATAGTGGACAGAGTGGCGTGATGCCGATTACTTTATAGTGGACAGAGTGGCGTGATGCCAATTAATTCTTAGTGTACAGAGTGGCGTGATGCCAATTAATTCTTAGTGTACAGAGTAGTGTGATGCCGATTACTTTATAGTGGACAGAGTGGCGTGATGCCGATTACTTTATAGTGGACAGAGTGGCGTGATGCCGATTACTTTATAGTGGACAGAGTGGCGTGATGCCAATTAATTCTTAGTGTACAGAGTAGTGTGATGCCGATTACTTTATAGTGGACAGAGTGGCGTGATGCCAATTAATTCTTAGTGTACAGAGTAGTGTGATGCCGATTACTTTATAGTGGACAGAGTGGCGTGATGCCGATTACTTTATAGTGGACAGAGTGGCGTGATGCCGATTACTTTATAGTGGACAGAGTGGCGTGATGCCAATTAATTCTTAGTGTACAGAGTGGCGTGATGCCAATTAATTCTTAGTGTACAGAGTAGTGTGATGCCGATTACTTTATAGTGGACAGAGTGGCGTGATGCCGATTACTTTATAGTGGACAGAGTGGCGTGATGCCGATTACTTTATAGTGGACAGAGTGGCGTGATGCCAATTAATTCTTAGTGTACAGAGTAGTGTGATGCCGATTACTTTATAGTGGACAGAGTGGCGTGATGCCGATTACTTTATAGTGGACAGAGTGGCGTGATGCCGATTACTTTATAGTGGACAGAGTGGCGTGATGCCAATTAATTCTTAGTGTACAGAGTAGTGTGATGCCGATTACTTTATAGTGGACAGAGTGGCGTGATGCCGATTACTTTATAGTGGACAGAGTGGCGTGATGCCGATTACTTTATAGTGGACAGAGTGGCGTGATGCCGATTACTTTATAGTGTACAGAGTAGTGTGATGCCGATTACTTTATAGTGGACAGAGTGGCGTGATGCCGATTACTTTATAGTGGACAGAGTGGCGTGATGCCGATTACTTTATAGTGGACAGAGTGGCGTGATGCCGATTACTTTATAGTGGACAGAGTGGCGTGATGCCGATTACTTTATAGTGGACAGAGTGGCGTGATGCCGATTACTTTATAGTGGACAGAGTGGCGTGATGCCGATTACTTTATAGTGGACAGAGTGGCGTGATGCCGATTACTTTATAGTGGACAGAGTGGCGTGATGCCGATTACTTTATAGTGGACAGAGTGGCGTGATGCCGATTACTTTATAGTGGACAGAGTGGCGTGATGCCGATTACTTTATAGTGGACAGAGTGGCGTGATGCCGATTACTTTATAGTGGACAGAGTGGCGTGATGCCGATTACTTTATAGTGGACAGAGTGGCGTGATGCCAATTACTTTATAGTGGACAGAGTGGCGTGATGCCGATTACTTTATAGTGTACAGAGTAGTGTGATGCCAATTAATTCTTAGTGTACAGAGTAGTGTGATGCCGATTACTTTATAGTGGACAGAGTGGCGTGATGCCGATTACTTTATAGTGGACAGAGTGGCGTGATGCCGATTACTTTATAGTGGACAGAGTGGCGTGATGCCGATTACTTTATAGTGGACAGAGTGGCGTGATGCCGATTACTTTATAGTGTACAGAGTAGTGTGATGCCAATTAATTCTTAGTGTACAGAGTAGTGTGATGCCGATTACTTTATAGTGGACAGAGTGGCGTGATGCCGATTACTTTATAGTGGACAGAGTGGCGTGATGCCAATTAATTCTTAGTGTACAGAGTGGCGTGATGCCGATTACTTTATAGTGGACAGAGTGGCGTGATGCCGATTACTTTATAGTGGACAGAGTGGCGTGATGCCGATTACTTTATAGTGTACAGAGTAGTGTGATGCCAATTAATTCTTAGTGTACAGAGTAGTGTGATGCCGATTACTTTATAGTGGACAGAGTGGCGTGATGCCGATTACTTTATAGTGGACAGAGTGGCGTGATGCCTATTAATTTTTAGCATACAGAGTGGCGTGATGCCGTTTGCGTCCCAGTGGAGGGAGAGAGTGAAGAGATGCCCATCATTTTACAGTGGGTAGAATGGTGTGATGCCAAACATTTTTCCAGTGTTTAGTGGCAGTATGCCGGGTACCCTCTGGTGCACACAATATTGTGAGGCCAAATATTTGATTTTAAATGTGTATTTCTCTGTTTTTTTTGTATTGTGTTGTTTTTAAATGTCTGGTGCTGCAGTGCTTGTATTTGTGAGCCCAAAACAAATTTCCCTTTGGGGACAATAAAGTATACCATACCATACCAACTGTCGAGTTCGCGCGCGCGATCTTAAGGATCGCGCACGCAAACTCGACAATCGACTACTGTCCAACAGGTTTTATCATAGTTTTTGTCCAAGTCCATTTTCTTCCTGTTTTCGGTCAAAGTCCACAGTAACTGGAGTTCGCGCGCGCGATCTTAAGGATCGCGCACGCAAACTCGACAATCGACAGTTACTGTGGACTTCGACCAAAAACAAGAAGAAAATGGACTTGGACAAAAACTACGATAAAACCTGTTGGAAAGCATCTTTTGAAGTGATTTTTATGTGAGCATATCAGTGAACACCCCTGACAACTCGGTGGGTTTCACGCCTTTGTAAACTAAAGTTTAATGCGTTTTATGAAGGATTGTTTCTGTGCACCTATGCAACCATTGTAGGGTTGGGGGGGTGCGACCACAGAAACCGAAGTTTCTCGGGACAGCAGCATGTGTCCAAATTTTAATCTTAACCGTTCTATTTCATCAGAAACGATCTTGAAACAGGGCTTTAAGTGTAAAATACCGAACTTGTCCTTTAAGTTTTGAAAGAGTTAAAACAGTTGGTTGTAAATTTGGTGCTAGTTTTACTGTACAGTAGCCATACGACAGAGTGCCTATAGTTTACAATGCCTTTATTCAGGCCCCTTTACGTTTCACATTTTTAATTGTGTTGTGGATTTAATTTTAAATTGATTGATTTATTTTCTGATGGCACAGTAGACAAAACACATCATAAAAAATATATGTTGTAATATCTGGTGGCAAGCACGGAACCCATACTGTACTGATTAAATTTGGCTCTTGATTCAATTTGTATCAAGGTGGTTTTATTTCTCTTGGAATTTTTTAATGACTTAAATATTCAATTCTTAGAGCATTTCAAAACAAGACAAAAAAACTCCATTCCACTGATAACGTTCATAATTTTAGACAATTTAAGAATTGTAGCTCTGATGTACTAACCTTCCCAAATGTGTTATTACTGGTTAACTACAGGATTCTTAACTTTACCTCAAACATAATACATACTTTTAACAGTAAGCTTACCATGTATAAGTTTAATTGGTTTGGTAATTTTTTTTTTTTTTTTGTGTATCTACTTGTGTGCTCTGTCGGGTTTAGGGTGTTTGTAAAAGCACTCTGTGACAACTTTGTTTTAAAGGGCTTTATAATATAAATGAATTGGCCAGCTGGCCATATTATGACCTTTCTTTGTCTGTAGATTACACTGGTTTGTCCCCAGATTGGACATCCATGTGTACTTATTGATACACTAGTTGGTCAGGGTTTTGTCCCCAGATGGGACTTCCTGTTAATGCCCATATAAGCAGTTGTCCCCGTGTCCCCACATGTGTTAACCTGACCTGTCCCCAGATTACCACCTACCCTTATTTTAATGAATTAATTACATTTTAAGAGAGGTATTTATTAAACTTTTTTTTTTAGATTTTTTGATGTGTTTATCTAGTCTCTAGGATGTC